GTACCTTAGCCTCTTCTTTACATAACCTGGCTCAAATTCCTTCTCCAGCTCTGTGTGTGCCTTTATCTCCTTCCCTCCTGTTTCAGAGGCGAGAGACTGATCCCTCCTCCTGGCTTGTGACTCTGTCCCCTTGGATAACTCCATGACTTTGGCTTCTCAATTTCCTTTCATCTCCCTGTCTCTACCAATTCCTCTGCTCTGCCGACCTGCGTGTCCCCATCTCCTTCACCCTTCATTTATTACGGAGCTTCCCTTGTGCGCAGCCCTCTCACCTTCTGTGCTTGGAAGGCTGGTCTGCACGTGCTTCTCTGTGGTCTCTGCGTTTGCGCATGCTCACGCCAGCCCCTGTCGACACTGCTCACCCACGGCATCCTAGATGCTAAATCCACCGTCCCTCTCTCCCTGACAGTTCCCTCTGGATCCCCTTTTGGCTTCTGTTCCACCCCTGCCCTTGAGCCCTGATATTCCCGATGTCTCGCCGCTGCTCTCAGGTTCCTTTACTCCATTCGTTCTCCCAAAGCGACGTCTTTTCTAGTGATTGCAGCCGCTACACCTGTGCTCCTGATGATTAAATCCACACAGTTCAGTCTCTTTCTAAAGCACAAGGCACTTGTTTCCAGCTACATCCTGGACCCCTCTGTTTGTATCCTCTGCAGGCACGTAACCAACACAGCAACCCACCGCCCTCCCTCCAAGCCTGCATTCCAAGCCTCAGTCAAGGTTGCCGCTCTGCTCTGCGTTGAAGACCTCACCCCTTGGAGGCCTCTCCAGCTCCTTCTTTTCCTTCAGCCTCCAATCACCCCCAACTCCTGCCAATTCTCCAGTTCAAACGTCTGAATCCACCCCCTCTTCTCTGTTCTCGGTAAGACTCTGGGGTCTGGCCCTCACTATTTTTCACCTGAGGATGCCTGCATCTTCAGATCCCACCATCCCTGCTTTCAAACCTTGAGGACGTCCTGATTCTGACACAATACATCCAACTCCTGATCGGCACAGCAGGCTCTTCAAGGGCAGCTTTCCGCGCCAGCCCAGCCGCTAACCAACGTGTTCCTCTCCCTTCTCACTTCCCTTCCTGCAGGAGGAGGCCAAGTTCTAACATCAGAGGATTGCCGTCTGTTGGTGGGCAGCTGCGTTTGCAGATGGGGAGAGTAAGCGGATAAAAATGACTCATTGACTACTCTCCCTACAAGTCTGCAGACTGACAACCTGCTTCCATCGAGCCCTTCATTCTGCTTCCCCATCATCTTTGTGGTAGTCCCAACAACCTCCCCACAGATGCCACACCTATCTCTCCTGCCATTCCAGCTATCAGCCACACTTCTGTCCCCAATCTCTGGAAGCACCAAACTTCACTTTTCTCTGATACTTTCTCACCTTTGTATCTTTCATACTGCCCCTACCTACCTGCTCTGCTCCACAAACTCCACTTGTCTTTTAAATCCCAGTCAAATTTAGCTCCACTGTAGAGCCTCCCCTATTCTGGGTTTTGCTCAAGAGCAATTTCCAATCAATTATTTACTCTCTTTTTTTTCCTAATATAGCATTTTATATAAGTGTGTGTGCCTGTGCCTGTGTGTGTGTGTGTGTTAGATTTAATTCATTAATCCTCTGGAATTTATTTTAACGTATAGTGTGAAATAGGGAATTTCTTTCCAAATGGATAGCCAATTGTCCTAACCACCATTTATTGAGTAGTTCATTATTTTTGCACTGATTTGAAATACCACCTTGACTCTGTATTAAACTGGTCTGCTTCAAGACTCTATTCCTTTCCATTGACCTATTTGCCTGTTGGTGGATCAATAACAAAATGACTACTACAACATAATTACTATTGCTTTATAGTACATTTTTACATTAACAAAGTATCATTCTTTTTTAAAGAAATTTCTTGTATATTCTAGAATATTTTCTCTCCCAAATTAATTTCAGAATCAGTCTTAAAATTCTATGAAAAGTCATTTTGGAAGTTTAGTAAGGATTATCCTGACTTTATAGGTGAATTTGCCATTAGTTGAAACTTTAACAACAGTGAATGTTGTCTAGATTCATGATGTACCTTTTCATTTATTCACATATTCTTTTATGTCCTTCGGTAAAGTTCTGTACTTTTATTTTTTAATATAGTCCATATTTATCGTTTGGTTTAGTTCTCAATATTTCATAGTCTTTTAAGCTATTTACATTTTCTAATAAACATTTTTCAATTTGTTTTTGCTCGTGTCTAAGAAAATTATTCCTGAAAATAGTTTTCTTTAAATCCGGCTGTTTCGTAACTCTTATTCATTCTGATAATTTGTCAGTTGATTCCTTTGGATTTTGGGGGGTAGATAATTGTATCTTTTTTTTTTTTTTTTTTTGCGGTACGCGGGCCTCTCACTGTTGTGGCCTCTCCCGCTGCAGAGCACAGGCTCCGGACGCGCAGGCTCAGCGGCCATGGCTCATGGGCCTAGAATCCGCGGCATGTGGGATCTTCCCGGACCGGGGCACGGACCCGTGTCCCCTGCATCAGCAGAAGGACTCTCAACCACTGCGCCAGCAGGGAAGCCCGATAATTGTATCATTTTAAACAATGAGAGTTTCCACCTTTTACTTTGTTTTTTTTTGTTTGTTTTTTTTTTGTATTGAACTAGCTAAGAATCCCTGTGTTTGTGTTAGTCTGGTTGGGCTGTCATAACAAAAGACCACAGGCTGGGTGGCTTGAACAACAGAAATTTCTTTTCTCCTAGTTTGGATTCTGGAAGTCTGAGATCAAGGTCCCAGTAAGATTGTTTCTGGTGAGACCTCTCCCCTCTGTTTGCAGACAGTACCTTCTCGCTGTGTCCTCTTCTGGCCTTTTCTCTGTGCGTGCATGGGGTGGGGGAGTGGGGAAGAACTGGTGTCTCTACCTCTTCTTATAAAGACACCAGTCCTGTTGGCTTAGGGCCCCATCCTTATGCCATTTAACCTGAATTACCAGCTTAAAAGCTCTATTTCTGGGCTTCCCTGGTGGCACAGTGGTTGAGAGTCCACCTGCTGATGCAGGGGACACGGGTTCGTGGCCCGGTCCGGGAAGATCCCACATGCCGTGGAGTGGCTGGGCCCGTGAGCCATGGCCGCTGAGCCTGCACATCCGGAACCTGTGCTCCACAATGGGAGAGGCCACAACAGTGAGAGGCCCGTGTACTGCAAAAAAAAAAAAAAGCTCTATTTCCAAATACAGTCACATTGGGGGTCAGGGTTTCAGCACAATTCAGTCTATACCAATGTTGTTGAATAGTATCAATGCAGATTTTTTTCTTGGATTTTCCTTTTCCCATTTCTGAATTATTATTAAAATTAATTTATATTTTTATCCTGAATATCTGAGAAATAATGAGCACAAAATATGCAAAGGAAACAAAATAAATTTGATACAAGTCAGTTATCCTATAGGTTTATTTGAAAAATGTATGTTTATGTATAGAGCACTAGTTCACTGGTAGACACAGACCAGATGTTCAAAAAGTACTTGTTGATTGACATTTTGTAGAACTGCCACAAATCTTTGCTATTATGTGTGTGTTTTGTGTCTAGAATGTCCATTTGTGTCCATAATGTCCATTCAATAAGACATAGATAAAACGTTTATGTTCAAAAAGCAATCATTCACTTTTTTTCTTTCATTCAGTAGAGACTTGCTGTTAGGCAGTGGGTGTATTTTAATACAAAAGACATCATCTCTCTGTGGTGTTTAAAGGCCTTGGTTATTCTCCTTGAACCAAAGTGGTAAATACTGTAATAAATAGAAATCTCTATTTCTTGCTGGCTCAAAGAAGTAGGCTAAAATTATGGCTATAGTTTATAATTCCTGCTCTGTTATGAATTAGAAATTTTTTGGCAAAATACCACATTTTAAGTCATAAATAAATAGCCCATTCTGAGCAACTTCCACCAAAAATTATTCTCCTAATCCTTAAAGGCAAAAATTAAAGATATGCATGGTGGAAAAAATCCTAAAGCTATTTTGCATATGCTGTATATGTTACACTTTTTGCAAGTCAGCTCACTTCATTCTTTTTCCTTCTTCTTTCTATCTCATATCCAATCTTAAGGAGGCTCTTTTTAGAAAAAATTAACATATCAACTAAAATCCCACACTCTTACTGATGTGACCTTGGGTCCAAATCCCTTCTCTGCATCCTTGATGGCTTGGTGGCTTTGGCAAGTTCCTTAATCTCTCCCAGCCTCAATTTCTCCATTCATGGAATTAGGAAAGAAATACATTCCTTATAGGTTTTCTGCAAAATTACATGAAATAACCTATGTGAAATCCTAAATAGGACCTCAGTAGATGGAGTAATTTTGTTATTACTATCAAACACTGTCATATTTTCTTGAATACTGATTAAATTTGAAATATTTAACTTGTTCATAGAAATGAATCTGGAGAAACCATAAGAAGTGTAATTCCTAACCATAATTAATTTTTTAAAAACCTTAACTGAACTTCTGAATTTCTTCTAATTTTGTATTCAGGATTCCAAATTTCATTCTCAGATGCACCAAAGACTATAAAACATCCTTTGTTAATGGTGGAGAATAAACAGCTTCTTATAAAACAAGACTTCATCATCCAAGAGTTTACAGATTTATATCCAGTGATTTGATTTAAAAAAGAGAAAAAGCCTTTTTTTGATTCAAAAAAATGCATCTCAAACCACTATAGAATAACAATTATGACTCTCCAGTTTTTATTTTTATTGCTGGGTTGAAAAAGGTGACTCTACAATGCCTACACCAGGAGGATATAATTCTACAAATAAGGGCCCAGCACGACATTTACGAGAAAAGCCGAGTCCTCCTGCGCAAAGCTAATTGGTGCTCAGCCAATGGGCTTCAGGGCGTTGCAAATAAAGGCACCTTCTCCACTGGGCTGGCCAGACGCAGTGTTGTCTCTGCCTGTGGAACTTCGGGAAATGCTCAACTCCTATCCCAGCAGAACACATCTGTGGTCAGCAAAGAGAAACCGCACTTTGAAGATGAAGCATCTTCTTGCCCAATTCCCATCCATTTTGGCCATTTATTGCTTCTGCCTACTACAGATTCCCTCCTCAGGTAAGGGGACCCCTTCAACAGACCCCAGCTGGCCTGAGCTCTAAGGAAGACTGGGACAGACCTTGACCTTTCAGGGCACTTCTGGAGGGAGTCTAGCTTGGTTCCCTCACCTACCCTCATTTCTACCCTTTGGAAATGGCTTCCATCGAAGAGGATGGACAGAGCTAGATGCCGCAGCCTTTTACCAAAGGAGGTTACTTCCCCCTGTGGAACTGCCTTTAAACAGCTCCTGTCCCAGGGCTGGCCCCAGGATGTGCCGCCGAAATTGTGAGGAATATGAGTCGGGGGAGGACTCCAACGTGTTAGCCATTTGTGCTCTTGGAATTCTGAAGAGATGAGAGCAGAGACGAGCTTAAAGTCCCAAAGACTGAGGATTGAGGAACAGTTGGAGAAGGGCGGTGTGGGAGCGGGCATAGGGAAAGGGAATCTTCTCCTAGCTTCTCCTGTGGGCCTGGCGGGGAAGGTGAGGGTGTTGGGTGGGGGGGCAGAGGCCCAGGGAGCGCAGCTGAGGCCCCATGCCTTCCAAGGCTTGGGCGCTGTCCGAGGTGCTGACTGGACGCGGGTGTCTCTTCACCAAATTCTGAGTACCAGTGCTTTTGTAGGGAACAGGGGTTCCCTGTAGGGAACAGGGGTTGGGTATGGGGTCCTTAGTCGAAATTTGTTACCCATCTCCAGGTAACTCGCTATATGATGCAGGATGAGGTGGAAGCTCCAGCTGGAAACACAGATTATTTCAAAATTTTAGAATTTTCCATTAGAATTTTGGTTTCAGGGAGTAGAAAATCTTTGAAAATATATTCAAATAGAAAATATGTTTGAAATAGCATGCTTGTTTTGCCATGTCCTGTAGTGTAATCACAAAGCCTAGGCATTGCAAGGAACCATGGAGGTCATCTAGTTTAAACTCTCAGGAGAGCAGGGATCGCCTCTATGATTTCCCTAGTTGATTACTTTCAGTGACACCCAACTCACAACCAGCCAAAGTCAGCCAGTAGCTGCCTCCCCTGGTTTCCAATAGAAACTTGTTTTGGAAATTTCTTACTACCTTTTATTTATCTGTCTATATATTTATATCCACCTCCCTCTTTTTCCGATTTAATTTTCTGTTCCCTGAGGATAAGGTCCCTATGGTATTTATCATTATAGTGTTAGCACAGAACCTCTTAATAATTCCTTATAAGATTGGTTTGAATTTCTTTTCATTTTTGAATAGCTCCAATCATCACAAACTTCTTTACACTGAGCTGAAATCTGATCACATGCAACTTCTAACCACTAGCCCTAGTTCTGCCCTTTGGGGATATACAGAATAAGACTAATATTTCTTTTTTTTTTTTTTCCGGTACACGGGCCTCTCACTGTTGTGGCCTCTCCCGTCGTGGAGCACAGGCTCCGGACGCGCAGGCTCAGCGGCCATGGCTCACGGGCCCAGCCGCTCCGCAGCATGTGGGATCCTCCCGGACTGAGGCACGAACCCGCGTCCCCTGCATCGGCAGGCGAACTTTCAACCACTGCGCCACCAGGGAAGCCCAAGACTAATATTTCTTATGACAGTTCTCAAACCAGTTGACGGCAGTTAACACACACTTCCTAATTTTTCCCTTTGCCAAAGAAAACTGTGCTCAGTTCCTTTAACTCACAACAAATCCTATCATTTCAAGTAGGACTATTACCTTTCAAGGTTGGGACACTATCTTTTGAATCCAGCACAAGATTGCCTCAGCTTTTTCTTGGCTTATAGTGAGATGGCAGGGAGCAATATATCACTCAGTATTTTTTTAAAAAAAATACTACTCTTGAGCCAGATATTCCCTGTCTCAGATTTTTAAAATCTAAATTCAGGGTCTTATATTTATCCCATTTAATTTCATCTTCTTAGTTTTGACATATCCCGTTGATTCTTTCAGTTGCAGTATTAGCTTTTCCTCCAAGTGTTGTGTTACATGCAAATGAGATGAAGACTTCATCTAGGTCAGATAAAAGTTGGCCGGTATAGGGTTCAGCTGCAGTACTTACTCAGCTCATTACCAGTAGCAACCTTCCCCATATCCCTATTCCTGAAGCGTCTGACGAAGAAGAGAGACAGGTATCCGTATTTCTTAAAAGTTCCAAGAGTGACTCTGATGCACATACTTACTGACACCATCTCTTGATATCCTGTCCTTATATATTCCATCAAAATATTACCAAAAGTGGGGTCCAGCTGCTCGCCACTCAAAAGCCAATAAAGAGGCAAGGTTGGTGGAAAGGAAAGCTTCCTTTATGTCAGGTGCTGGCAATAAAGCGGGGTGGACAAAGGCCTGTCCAAAGGCCGACTCCCCAGCCACGACCCCCCCAAAAAATCAGTGGGCAAGAGCTTTTATAGATGGAGGGAGGGGGCTACTTGCAGAAACAGCACAGTCAGCTCTGACGGTAATCTTGAAATTGGCCATGTGGTGGTCTGACCAGCATCATCTTGATTGTTTTAAGTATAGTTAATCTTCAGTTCTCGGGTCGGGTTGTTCCCATTTCCTTGAGGCCAGTTCTCAGAATTGTGGCAGCTTATGTCATGGCTACAGCCTGGTCAGCGTGTAGTTAACTTCTTCCACCTGATGGAGGTTTTAGTATCTACAAGACAGCTCACAGGATATGGCTCAGAATATTATCTATAGCCCTTGAGAAGGAACTAAAGGTCCTTGACTTTGCTTACTGACTAAACTATTTTTATTTAGTCTTTTGGGAATGTTTTCTTTTGTTTCTGCATTTTCTCACTTCTTGGATTAAACTTATCTTTTGGCTAAAGTTTTTCTACAGACAAAAGGCAGGAGGAGGACATGAGGGGGCAAGGACCATAGGGCTCTGCTCCATTTCAAAAATACAAATTAAGTTGTTAACTAGGTAATTTTTTCCCTCTCTCCTAACTTGCTAACTCTTGTGCTGCTAACTCCTGGTAAATAAAAAAACATGCAATTTTTAATTAACTTTGGTACAAATCTCAGATTTGCTAGTGGTAGGTAGAAGTGTGTTTTCTTTAACAATCCTTTTAACAACATGGTATTAATAGAATCGCTGTGTGCTCTTCATGGTAAAGATTTAAAAGTTAATGCTGGACTTTCCTGGTGGTCCAGTGGTTAAGAATCCATCTTGCAATACAGGGGACGCCGGTTTGATCCCTGGTCGGGGAACTAAGATCCCACCTCCTGCAGGGCAACTAAGCCCACGCACCACAACTAGAGAGGAGCCCATGTGCTGCGACTAAGACCCGATGCAGCCAATAAATAAATAAATATTTTTTTAAAAAAAGTTAACGCTACAACCTCTTTTCTCCTAATAGAGATTTTTATGATTTCTCACAATAGGATTTCCTCGAACTTTAGCTGATCCTCCAGATGGCTTGGATATTGTGAAGCTTGAGGTACACCACTGTTCAGTAATGTGAGATTTTTATTTAGCCTTGGCCTTGAAACTATCAAGTGGATAACGTTCACTTGAAACTATTTTAAGATCAGATTCTTGGCTGCAGCAGAAACGCACTGTTTTCATTTTCATGGCTTCATTTAAGTCATCTTGGGAGTTGCGTTGAAATTTATGGCCACTGTGTGAGAAGATAATGCAACGTTCATAAATGAGGCAACTTTAGGATTTAATTTTTAATTCTATTGATTAAGGGATTTGTACTTATCTTTGATTCATTTTCCTCATTTTTTAGCGGCTGGCATATCGGGCAACTCTTTCTAGACAACCTAAGGTAAAACAATTAATATACATATGGTAATTCTTTTATTTATAGCAGTGCACCTGCTTACACCATAATTGATATCTGTAAATAAGCACACTCTTCTGTTACCTGTAGGAGAATTCTGCGTGCACGTGTAAGTGTGTGTGTAAGAATACAGTTATAGGAAATAACGAGTGAATCTCCTAAATATAAATGACCATCATCTGCATTCTTATAAGGATCATAATCACATATACATATCATATACGTGATATACGTGATATATCAATCACGTATATACACAAAATTACACGTCAGGTGGGGATACGGTATTGATCCAAACAGACCAAATTATCTGCTCTCATGGAACTTATATTCTAGTTGGGGAAGTAGTCTCCAAGATAGATAGATAAAATTTTAAAAATATTTTTTTCTCTAAAAAGAAAAAAAATAAATAAAGCAAGGAAGGTGCATATGAAATCTTGAGAGTTGGTGTTCATCACCTGGAAAATCATCTTCAAATTCCTTGGTTATTTTGTGGGGGGGGCTTGAAAAGTAATGGTATAAAGTTGATGAACATGATAACAAAAATATATTGCCTACTGGGCAAAAATATTTGCCCAATAGGTGTCCAGAACACACACACAAACACACACACACACACACACACACACACACTTCTGTGAACAGATGCTGACAAAGAGACCGGAAGTTGTAAAAATAGTAAATACTTTCTGCTGATTTAGAAATGGTGATCATAAAGAAACAGAAAGTTAATGTCCACTGAGCCTCTGCTATGAGTAATTTTGGTTCATTATTTTGTGTGTCTGTGTGTGTGTGTGTGCCCATATTCATGTGGGTACATGTACACGCATAACAAAGAGAGAAAGAGAGAATATGTAAGTATTGGTTACTGCAGAAACCCTCCACAAAGTCTGTAGGAAGTTGCTCACAGCAACAAAATTAGACATGTTACTAACAACTTTCATTTCTGTCTTGATTGGAGTTTGAGCTGATTCAACAATGTTTAGATGTAAATGAGATGAGATCAATAGTAACGAGATATTTACAACATCATTCACAGTACCTCTCTGAGTAGGATATGCTGCCAGTACAGCTTTTCCTGGGCTGTCATCCATGCAGACAGAACAGGGTGGTGCTCTAACAAGGATTTAGAAATTAAAAGCTGGACTTTCTGCAAGAACAGTGAAGATTCATGTAGAAAGCTTTTAGGGAAAAAAATTTGGTCAATATGAACCAACCCTAAGAAAACTGAATTATAGGGTATGCCCAGCAGCAAATTAAAAGTTGCAATCGTTATTTTATCCCACCTCTTAGTTAGATGGCTATCTGGGAACTGATTAGGGTATTGCTTCGATGCATCATAGAGTATGTTTTTCCCCTGAAGACTGAAAAGGTAAAATAAGATTAAGTTTTAAAATAATGATATCGCTGGCAACTTTCCTTTTGGCAAGGTTCTGCATCAACTATAGTCTTATTAAGCTTGTATAATGGATTTCTTTTTAGAATGCCAATTTATTTCATAATATTCAGGTAAATCAGGAAGGTCCCCGGTGTAACTTCTCCTGGAAACCTGCCCCAGTAAAATTCCATGTGACTTACCCTCATCATTTTCTTTCCAGGATAATCAAGACATATACAAAAGGGTGAGTACCACCAGCCTAGTAACAAGAGCATGCAACTACCACATTTACAGCAAGTGATGCTTAGAATTAAAATCAACCTTTTTTTCCCTCTTATTTAGTTTTTATTTCATTACTCCAGAACTCAGAAGCCAACGCATCCAGTTAAAGCCGGGATCAGTATTTTATCGTAATCATCTCTCTGTAAAAGTCATTCTCCTCTGCACGCCTTTGTCCTTTCCCGTTTAATATATGCAGATAAGTAGAAAAACAGGGGCCTTCCAGAAACTCTGGGTAATAGCTTTCTAGGTGCTTTTTCCTGGGGCTGCAGGGATTCTCTCTCTCCCTCTCTGGGGAAGGGGTTGGGGGAGGTTGACAGATCTGAAAAGCTAGAGAATAATTACAGAAAAGGAAAAATTAGTAAGAAATAACTTTTTATTATGCACTTAAACAGATGTACAAGAAGCCTGGTAAAGACTGAGCTCTATTTACATTGCTCCATGTTACCTTCTGTGTTTTAAATTCTGAAAAGCGCTTTGTGAAGTGTGAAGTACCACATTCTCAATAGTGACCTGTGGGTGTGCATCTTTCGTCACTGTCACAGTGTGTATGGGCTGTGGGAATAAAAAGCATCGCCTCTAACTCTCTTATTATAAATTGGAGTTACCCTCAGGAACAGATTGTTGAAGTGAATTTCTGCAGGGTATGATTTGGAGAATATTGGGAAGGTCATAGAATCAATCCAGTCAGAGTGATTGAAATTCTACTATTAGAAAGTCACTTGTTTATATAGTCAAGGCTTTCCAAGTCTTCAGAAAGATCCTTAAAATAAACAAGTACCAAGCAAAATGTTTTTCCCTTTGAGGCAAAGACACAAGAGTAGTATAGATTTAGTACTGGGGATCGGGTAAGGATGGGAATAGTATCAGGACAGGCCATGGGCACTGCAAGTTGAGAAGGGTCAAAAATGGAAGGGAAAAGAGAAAGACAAATACCATATGATATCACTTATATGTGGAGTCTAAAATATGGCACAAATGAACCCATCTACAAAACAGAAGCTGACTCACAGACATAGAGAACAGACTTGTGGTTGCCAAGGGGTGTGGGGAGTGGGGAAGAATGGAGTGGGAGTTTGGGGTTGGTAGATGCAAACTATTACATTTAATAGAATGGATAAACAACAAGGTCCTACTGTAGAGCACAGGGAACTATTTTCAATATCCTGTGATAAACCACAGTGGAAAAGAATATGAAAAAAAGAATATATATATGTGTATAATTGTCACTTTGCTGTACAGCAGAAATTAACACAACATTGTAAATCAAATATAGTTCAATAAAAAAAGATTCTTTCTAGCCTAAAAAAGAAAAAAAAAAGAAAATGGAAGGGAAAAGATAAACTCCGTGTCTGTGACACGAATTAACTTTTACTCTGAGCTGAAATACTCAGGGAGGATTCACAGGACTAGATAAGACAGGGTATGTATGTCTGAGTGTGTGCGGGCAGTCACAGATGAGACATACAGGAGAATAAAATGAATGGGGGCGGTGGTTATGCATGCTGCCCTTCCACCTCATCCCTTAGATAAGGAGAGCACACCTGGGGAGCCAGAGAGGATCTTCATGGAGATGCTTATCTGGGACGATGCACTCCACACTAGAAGGACAGAATGTTTGGGATTAAGGCAGATACAAGTCTGTTTTACCCTAAGGGAATATTTTTGAGTGATGTGTTGGAATGAAATGTGCTAGCAAGGCAAGCGGTTCTTTATTGAAATCATAAAATTTCAGGCTTAGGCTTGGAAATGGATTTTACTCTGAAAATTAAACCCATTTGTAAGGGAGTGAGCAGACAGGAATGCACATAGCCCTGGGCCTGGGCCCGGTGCTGTCTGACCCTCACCGTCTCTTTGCCGCAGTTTCCTCCTGTGCATTCTCTAATGCATCTGGCTGCTAAGCTCGCCAACCAAAGGATGAAAAGATTTCGGCAGCACGTACGTACTTGTTCCTTCCACCATATTTTTATGCCACTAAAAGTTCACTTACCCGTGGTGAATGCCTGTTGTCCCCTTTGGGCTCACTGGTGTTTTCTCCTTGTACAAGCTCCACACGGTGGCTGCAGGGCAGGGAATGGGGGAGAGGGGCTGTGGTCCAGCTCCGTGACCATGGGCTCCTCCTCTGCGCTCTTCATCTTTTCCCATTTTAGTTTTCGTGTTGTTTTTTCACTTTCCCTGCCCCTTCCTCTTCCTCCCCATGACATGGACACTTGCCTTGATCACATACTCTGCTTCCCATTGTCCCACCTGCCCTTTTATTCTTATGGCAGAGCTTCGTTTCTTAAAAAAAAAACAAAGCTCTGAAACTAACACAACATTGTAAATCAACTATACTCTAATATAAAATTAAATTAAAAAAACAAAAAAAATTTTAATTAAAAAAATTTAAGTTTAGAAATGACTAGTTTCAAAAACAGCTGAACCTGTTCAAAATGTCCATCAAGGTTTTGTTGCGTGGTAGCAGAACAAAGAAACAAACACAAATTTTTGGACACTGTGAGTCCAAGTAGGGTGAACGACTCATTCCAGTTTGCCCAGGACGTTCCTATTCCTGGGTTTAGCTCTGAAAATGCCAAGACCCCAGAAAATCGCTCACTTCCTGAGAAACCCATTGGTCATCCTAAGCGCAGGCCACAGTTTGCTTGGATACTGGTGTCAGACTTCCAGGTTGAGTCTGCCTCCACCATTGGGCCAGACCCACAAGGAAAGATGAGCTGAAGAAGCTGAAATGGCATATCCTTGAAAATCTGCCTAAACCAGGAGTCAATTTCAAGTCGAGGCTATTGGGAAGAAGAAGCAAGTTTAACATTGTCCTGGACCCTAAGGGTAACCCGACCAAGAAAACACACTTGCCTTCCTGAACAGACAATTGTGATTGGCTCCACAGTTAGCTGTTTTCTTGAAAGGCATTTTGCATCTGACTTCCGGCTACCTTAGAATGGAATCAGGGAGGGGCAGGGTCACAGTACACTGCAAGCCTCGGGGATGAGTTTCCTATTAGATGAACCTGGGCCTCATTCCTTCACAGGATTCCGGAGCTGCTGCAGAGCATCTTACCAAGAAGGTATGTAAGCCCTGAGCAAGCACCACCCCCCAAAAAAGATCTACTTCTCAAAGACAGAAGGACGGGGGAGTGCTTGAAGCCAGGCCACCTTGCAGCCCCTTTAGATCACTTCTGTAAAGAACTGGCCTCACACTATACCCTAAAATTCTCTGAGGCTGAGCATCTAATTTTGGGTTTTCCTGGGCTTGTCCTGGAGCAGAAAGGAATCATGGAGCGATGCCCTTGGACGGCACTATTTCGTCTCTGTTCTTCCAGATGCGTCACCTGGGGCCATCTGCCCCTGGAGATTTGCTTTCTGGCTCAGGGGCCCACAGGCCAGTTGTGCACACTTGGGGAGGGGTGCAGCATCTGTGCTTCTCCAAGTTGACCGTGCACCATGAACACCTGGGACCTTGTTAAAATTCAGATGGCTGGGCCCCAACCCGAGATTCAGTGGGCACCTGAGATTTTGCATTTCTAACAAGTCCCCAGGTGTTGTTGATGTTTTGGGTCTGGGGACCATACGTTGAAAACCACTAACATAGACATCTTTGAAAGACCTTCGGCACAGCGTGGTTGCATAATGGTTTGTGTTTTTATGTTGAAGGATCACACTGCCACCTTGGAAAGACCATTTTTCCTTTTCAGGGTAAAGCATATTTCCTCTTCTCTGTTTTTCACCCCAATTCTCTCCTACCGCCCCAATTATGGAGTTACTGCAGAATGAGCCCAGACAGGCCCCCATGGCGAACTGGTGAATCATTAGGGGAACTTTCTCACCCTTCCTTAGGGGGATGACTCGATGCTTGGAAAGGAAAGGGTCCAGCGGACACGGGCTGCGCGCACCAGGGCTCTGGGAGGAGCTCTGGGGCGGGAGGCGGGAGTTCTGCTGATGGACAGACGCACGGGCCAACCAAAGTCGGAGTCCGTGTTCCAGAGCCTGAAAGTCCGGAACGCACGGGCCCGATCACAGTGGAAATAGGAGTCTAGGCGTCCTTTTCCCCAGGGAACTTGGAGCTTCTTGCAAAGGTCACAGAGTCACAGATGGTTCCATCTGCATTCTGTGGTCATTGGTGCTAAGAGATGCTCTGCAAAGATCAAATACGATCGAAAACACTGTACCTGACACTCTCCGAGGTTTACAGAGAATACCATGTGCTGCAGGAAGCAACCTGTTTAACTTGGCTCAGTCATACTTTCCCCAAACCCCCATGACATCCCAAGTACACATTTTAAATCTGCATGCCCTACTAGTGGTTGTTTTCTGGAAAGTACTTGCAGAAACAGTGGGTCTCCATGATGTCTTTAGGATGAGAAGTCCTGTGATGCGTTGTTTAGGGATCGTCCTGCCACATAAACAGAGGCTAAGGGGTGGAGTGGTGGGGTGAGGGACAGTGTCAGGGCCATAGGAGCAGCAAGGGTCCTGGAGCACTGTCCCAGAGGATCCACAGAGTAGCAGTGACTGGGGCTCTCCAGGTGAGCCCCCAGGGAAGCTGCTAATGCCTCAGTTAGGAGAACAGAGCCTTAGGGCATAGAGAAAGGATCTGGAACCAAGAAAGAGATTCCAGGCAGTATGGTCTCAGTACTGTAAGCTGCTCCTTTTTTTTTTTTCAGCCAAGGAATGGAAGAAACCTTGACCTTAGCACCTGGTAGGATCGTCCAAGGCCAGCCTCATTGCAGCTCTTCTCCTCCAAACAAATGTTATCTGTCTGACGTGGGGCAGTGAGAGGCAACCAGAGGGGTGATAGTTCCAAGAAAGGGAGGCCATGTGAAACCCCTAAGGGGTTCCTCTGCCCCCTCCCTTTCCTGCTCTCAGCATCACAGAGACCCCACGGCAGCCTGGCACTGTCCCAGACAATGCAGCCTTTGCTTCATGCCAGCTCTTTGCAGGTGTGTTGTCTCCAGCAGTGGCTGTGAGAGGACAGAAGCTCCACAGCTTTTGTGACTTCTCACCTGGCCCTTGTGATGAGGCAAAATCCACCCTGGCATGCTTGGTGGGGAGAAGTTCTCTATAGTGGGAACATTTCCGATTAGAACCAGGCCAGGCTGTTCCCTCCATTCAATGATGCTCTGAGACCTGGAGGTGAAATCTGGTGAGATTTCTTGGCTTCTGGCCTGTGGCAGTTCGAGTCCCTGCACATGAGCAGCTCTGGGCCACCACTGTCTCTCATGTTGATGTGGTCCCAGGGACATGAGGCCACTGTCTTTCAGAGGCATCCCAGCCTCCCTCCTGGAGCCCCTGGACCAACTGACAGCGACTGGGGCCCTGGCAGCCCAAGGTGCCTGAGAGAGCTGTCCAGATGCTGGGGAGCATAGCCGCCCTGGCCAAACTGAGAAAGATGTTCCCTGAGGCCACAGCTCTCACACTGACCTAATGGCCTGATCAGTTACAGCAACAAACCTTATGAGTACCAATTATGGGCATTTATGACATGCTAAATTGAGGTATTTTAAAATATGTTATATAATAACATGACCCTGGGCCTCATCTCCATCCTGATAATGATTCAATCTGACCTGTACATTTTTCTTTTTTCTTTTCAGAATTCAGCGGCAAAGGGAGTCTGGATCAGATGAGGCAACTGAGCATTTGTTTTGAACAAACATCAAATTTCTTTCTGTGAACAGTATTTAAAGAGAATTCTCTTGCTCTCTCTTCACTAGAATATTCAGTTGTGTAAAAAATAAAGTAGCATTGACGCAACATTTTCATTTCTTATTTCTTATCGGGTATATTTTTTAAGTAATAGAGTATGTATGATTAAAATGTGCTGGTTTTGGTGTTGTTTTATCGTGTTCCGACAATCTCGTTATTGTCGAGCGTTGAGAGCACAAGCCCGGGAGAGCCTGGCCGGCTTCAGATACTGACTCCGCTTTTTAGCTGGGGGATGGTGGGCTGGTCACTTCCATGATAAAAATAACAGCACCTTCACATCATTTTAGAGATGACTGAGGAGATGGTCCACATATGGGGCTTAGCATGATGGTACCTAGTGAGCACTCAGGGAGTGTTGGCTCTAATTACATTTCAAAGATGAGTTTTGTTACACAAATGGTACCAAAGGGACTTGCCCTATGGGAGCTGCTTCTATATTGCTGACCAAGGGCTCGAAGTTACAGCATTAAGTTAACGTATACCAACTCCAATATGATCCAGCAATCCCACTCCTGGGCATATATCCAGACAAAAGCTATAATCTGAAAAGATACACGCACCCCTATGTTCATGGCAGCACTATTTACAATAGCCAAGACATGGAAACAACCTAAATGTCCACCAACAGATGAATGGATAAAGAAGATGTGGTGTGTATATATATATATATATATATATATATATATATACACAATGGAATATTACTCAGCCAAAAAAAAGACAGAAATAGCCATTTGCAGCAACATGGATGGACCTAGAGATTATCATACTGAGTGAAGTAAGTCAGAAAGAGAAAGACAAATACCATGTGATATCACATATGTGTGGAATCTAAAATAGGACACAAATGAATATATCTATGAAACAGAAACAGGGTCACAGACATAGAGAAAAGACTTGTGGTTGCCAAGGGGGAGAGGGGGTGGGGGAGGGATAGACTGGGAGTTTGGGATTAGCAGATGCAAACTAGTATATAGAGGCTGGATAAACAACAAGGTCCTACTGTAGAGCACAGGGAACTCTATTCAATATCCTGGGATATTCCATGGTGGAAAAGAATGTGAAAAAGCATGTATATATATATATGTATATATACCCACATATATGTATAACTGAATCACTTTGCTGTATGGCAGAAGTTAACATAACATTGTAAATCAACTATACTTCAATAAAATTAAAAAACTAACAAACAAAAAAATTCCACATACCAACTCCAGACTCCTCAAGAAACTGTGAGGCTCAGGCCTTTACCTTCTCAGGTGCCTCCTCTATAAATGATATTTGAGGGGCGTGGATGTATGGAGGGGCCCTGACGATACATGCCATGAACTTACACTGCACTCAGCCTTCTTTCTTTGAAGGCTCTCAAGCTTCTCATCAAATTTAAGAGTCCTCCTTTTAAAATGTCATTTAGACATCACACTTCTAGGATTTGGTTTTTATTTTCACCTTTATAAGCCTTTGCAATAAGTCTCAAGCCTATTTTCTGAAATAGAATATTTTAAGACCCCTCTGTAGACCCTGTCACAAAAGATGAGATGAGCCAGCCCACTTCCATGAGACAGTGGGCTGCGCGAAGATCCAGTGGGTGAGATAGAGGTGCTGGCCCATAGGTCTTTCACTAAATGCCGGAGTCAGAATTCAAACCCAGGTTTAAATGGCTCCAATGTCTACAGTTCTTCACCACAATGGGCTGTCTCCCAGGGAAACGGAATCAGCCCTTGGCTGAGGTCAAGAGTGAGATTGTTTTCCTCACTTTATATTTTAAAGGCATTGGGTCTTCACAGTACGAGTTGCCCAACCACACGTGAAATTGTTTACATCAGTCCTTTAGTTTGAAACTTTGGGCCTTTAGGAGAATATGGTTAAAATAAGAAGAAAGAAAACAACTTCAAGTCAATGATGAAAGACAAACAGTGAATGTACTAAATAAGTTAGACACCAAAGTAGAGTGATTTTTAGATCTATTATGAAGAGTATCGTAGCTTCCTTTAAAATGTCCTGAGTAGGATTTATTTTTATAATTAAAATATCACACTTTAACATACATTTGAAGTGATTAAAAGCATCAGATCATAATGCAATATCAAGGCATTATTTATACATGATTTAATTAATAAAATATTTCCCTTTAGACCTTATTACATGCCTTCCATACATTGATGGTGCCATTTATGATTTGATCACACCTTCTACCCAGGGTCCCTCCATCTAGACTATCTTGTCATCATTATGTTTTCCTCTAGTGCTGGGACAGTTAATGTTTGTGAATGTTGTTAAAAGACTGATGGTTTTAAACTAAAGTTAGACTGAACTGGAAAAAAAAAAAGAGTGAGATGGGATGAGGGTACAAGGTTGAGCTGCACATGAAGTTACAAAGCTACAACTGCTACCCTCTCAGCCCTTGACTTATTAGGTAGAGATGGTATACCTAGTGCAAGGTCAGAGTGGAGCAGGAGTTCATCATGGCTAAGGAATGCCAGAGCTATTCCTGATTTGGGGCCAAGGAGGGATCTGGATGAATTGGGGGAGGCTAAGCAGGGACCCTACCCAACCTCTGCTTGGAGTTTCAGATTCTTTTCCAATTCAACACGTTTAGGGAATTCCCTGGTGGTCCAGTGGTTAGTGTTCTGCACTTTCACTGCAGGGAACTATGATTCTGCATGCCACGCAACATGGCCAAAAAAACAAAAGAAAAACAAACAAACAAAAACCCAACCATGTTTAGACTGTCTGGCTTTCTTAGTCTTTATAAAGGTATTTATCTTGTCTACCTCAATACCTGAAAGAAACAAATTTTCCTCGCCCAAACAAACCCCATCCAAAGAGCTGGAAAAATACGCCTTCTGGAAAGGTTTATTTTTTTTTGCTCAATTCTATGATCTCTTTGTTGACTCTTGGTATTTCAGTTTAATATTAAAACCATCAATTTGCCTCAAGAGATTAAGTCACAACCAATAGAAACCCTGAAGAAGAGGCAGTAGGACCTATTTTATTTATAGCCTTAGTCTTTGCCTTCCAGACATTGGTGAAACGGAACTTAGAGGGTTGCTGTAATAAAGCAGAGTCCAGAAGAAGAGGCTTCACTGCACAGCAGCTGCAGAGATGCTAGGGCTCTGGGCAGCCGGCTGGTAGACCATATGTCTGCAGGCTCGGAGGAGGGGTGGTTGAGGGAAGAGCTACCATTTGTCATCTTCCCAGGGAAAACTCACCTTGACCTGAAGCAGGTGAAGAAGAGTGAGGAGAGTTTGTGGGAAGGAAAGCCACAGGGGAGTAATTTGTGTTTTTTAAGATTTTTTTTTTTTGATGTGGACCATTTTTAAAGTCTGTATTGAATTTGTTACATTATTGCTTCTGTTTTGTGTTTTGTTTTTTTGGCCGTGAGGCATGTGGGATCTTAGCTCCCTGACCAAAGGTTGAACCTGCACCCCCTGCATTGGAAGGTGAAGTCTTAACCACTGGACCACCAGGGAAGTCCCCACAGGGCAGTAATTTTATGCTCAATTGGCATTTAAAGAGATGGACAACATTGTAAAATGTATCTTCTTACAGGGGGAGGGTCCTTCCCACTCAACTACCAGACAAAGAGACATTTTGGTAATGAAACTTGTATTACTTACAGTAAGAGACCAAACAATACTGTGGTTTGAAGAATAAATACGTTTTTCTCTCTAGCTTACAGTTCTGACATGGATGACCCAGATCAGTGGAGCGGCTCTGTTCTTTGAGCTGTTGAGAGGCACATGATGGTGAAAATCATTGCCCCTCCCCCAGACCCTGCACCGTCAAAGCACGGTTGCCAGGAGTCTGTGCTCCAGCTTGGTGGGTGCACGTGCATTGTTTTAAGGTCCAGGCCTGGAAACGGCAAACATCACTCCCCTCCGTTGGAGAGAAATCAGCAACAGGCCCACACTCAGGGAATGTGGCCTCGGGGGCCACGTTGCACTAAAACCCTGCTGCTTTAGATTTAGAAGAAGAGAAGAAGGATTCTTGG